TTGTGGAAATTGTTAAATGATGTGTAATATAATGGAAATGATATGCTATTGAGTCTACTTTATCTCTATTGTACAGTACTATCCACTATATTGTATAATACTTAATAAAAATTCCATATATTTTTACCACAATTAGTTTGTGATGTAGTTATTCGTTAAATGTTGTCATCACTACAAGAATATACTGTACTATAAGGTATACGGAGATAATTAGTTACCAAGTTTAATTTAATTATATTTGTAAATTGGAACATGGATATTAATGACATGGACATAAAAATGTCCCAAAATATGTGTTATATTTATTGTTTTAATAAAATTTTGTATTATACTATGTAAAATATATTTGACTTTAAAATAGTAATGTATTTAATATGTAATAAAGAGTTTCAAAAAATATTTTATGGATTTATTCCAACTTTAAATTATTTTTGTTAACGAAATGTCTTATCTTTGGTTTTAATTTCATAACTTGTATTCAAAGAGTATTTATATATAAATGTATTTAAAGAAAAAACAAATTTCATGGCAATAAAAAATTAATTTATTTATTTGATCAAACGTTATGTTATAATGTATTGAAAATGATATCATAATTCGTATACAATATCATTGATAAATTGTTTATCGATAACAACAGACTTATTGTCATCGAAAACAGAGTCTTCGGTGACCACAAGATGGTCATCGATGGGCTCATCGGCCTCAGAGTACTGGACATCAAGACTGTGAGTCTTATTGAGTGAACTCTTATTATCAATGGATGGAAACTGGAAATGAGTGGACGACTTAGGCGTGAGTGCCGTCGGTGTCAACGAGAAGGAGGATCGGGTGGACGATCGACGGGACGACCGATGAGACGCGCGACTCAAGCGTTGCGAAACTCTCGAATCTGCGGACAACACTTGCAGAACAGTTTGCACGAGTCGTGGAGTCTTCGGCCGCTTCTGCGCCGGGTTTACAATACACTCGACGTCAATCTCATCCATGGCTTTGGTCTCATCGTTGATCGCTTCCCGACATTTCATAAGCCGACGAACTCTTTGCATCAAATTCTCCTTATATTCCGGATAATCCTTTAAAGTCTCCATGAGATCGGATTTGCTTAACACAAACAAATAGGAATAACCGGTGGACCGGACGTCGGCTGTCCGACGATTGTACCCTTCAATGCCAAGTATGGATATCTCACCGAAAACTGAACCTTCAATTAATTAATTAATTAATTGTTAAATACTATAATTATTTGGACAAACCTTCGGAGAGAGTGACCAACACTTTATTAGGGACATTGGGGTCCATAACACAGACGTGTCCTTTGTTTACAATATACATCTCGTGTCCGATGTCTCCCTTTTTGCAGATGAAATCTCCCGGAAGACACAGAACTGAACGAAACTTAAGGACCAGATCTCTCAATAGCGTCCGCTCGCAGTCCTTGAAGAGTTCGACGCGACTTAACGTATGGTAATGTATAGAAAGGGCCAAATCTGTCCGCATCTTCAGCGGCAGTAAATCGAGAATCTTATTCTCGTCGAAAGTCTTTTGTTGGTTCCACGTGTAGGCCAACCAAAGGCGGACCCGTTTCTGGACGCTATGCGGCAGCGATAGGCCCCTCATATACCGTACCGTTTTGTTCATAATGTCTTTATAAAGGGTCTTGTTTTGCGTGGCTGTGGCCACGATATCACGGATCTGACCAATGAGAAGGGCGAACACAAACACCCCCATCAGCCAACTCACTATCATATATATGCGCTCGTAATCGTTGGTAGGCTTTGGCATTCGGCCACCGATTGATGTGGCCGTACGGAAGGCAAAGTAAAAACAGCGCAAATATGCGTTCCCTATCATTATGTGTAATATAGTGTGTTATACGGTGTGAAAACCCATTATATTGTGATCTAATGCTATTTGTCAAAAGATTTTTATCCCACAAAAGCTCTTAAGTCTCTATTTCCTATCAGATCTCTCTCTCTCTCTCTCTCTCTCTCTCTCTCTCTCTCTAATAATCTCTGCGACGATCACTCACTCAACTATAACTAACTGTAAGTGCTTTAAATTTAATATAAAATTTTGAAAAATAATAAATTTTAAAAACTATTAAGATTTTAGTGTAAATGCTGTAAATTTAATGCCATTTAAAACAATAAAAGAATCCATACCTTCATTATTATAAGTCCATGGCGTGGACCCAAAGCCCTCATATGAAGACATAAGATAATAAGCGCACGAACTCAAATGTATCAAGTACATTTTATACATGAGTGTGTGAATGATCCTGATAAAATATGGAAATTTTGTAATGGCATCGATTCGGGTAAAGAACTCCCAAAAAGTGGTCGCTTTGAAAAGTCGATTGAGTCTTAAAAGTCTGAATAACGGTTTGTCGAAACCGTATTTGAAATAAAGTAAATCTAATGGCAATAGAGATAACACGTCGGATATGAACCGTTTTCGGCGTAAATAGTGGTGTCGGATGAGTACTGTGTCCTCAACCCACTGGCCATCCATTATAAACTTCAGTCTCATTTTAAACCAAATCATATCCATTATGTAAATCCCATCACAAATGTAATCACATATAAAAAATACGAATCTTTTTGTCGTAACAAAAAAACAAAAAGATAAAAAATAAATGATATTTTAAAAAACAATAAAAATATTTAACGACTTATTTCTAGATATAAAAAATGTAACAAAAAAAAGTGAGAAATAAAATGTCAAAACACTTACCGATTATTACTTGTTTCGTACGGAAAGACACATCTGAGGAAAATAATGACCGCATTATATACAAAGGCCACCGAAACGACAAACAGCCAACTAATGTATAGCGAACTCTGGGGTTCAAACACACCCAACTGCCGGCGCCGCACCCGATGCCAGCACTCCTTCCACATCGTCCTCTTCACAAGCGTGGATCGGGTGATGTCCAGCGTTTGCATCCATTCCTCCTCGAAAATGGCTGAACCCCTAAAACTGGCACTCTTTGACTCTTCGCCACTCGACGTCTGGACGGGTTGACTGATGCGGCGCTTCACGTGTTCGCCCCGTTTGGCAAACGCTTCCGCCAAACCTCTCAGTTGTTGAACTACTTTGGGATTCGCACTAATGTTGTTGTTATTGCGTTCAGTTTCTGACCGATTGTTGCGATTATCACACATTTAATTAATGTTTCATTAAGATAAGAAAGAAATGAAACAAATAATACCGCATTCGTCGGCCACAGGACATTCATCGTCTGATTTGTGGCGATCAGTGGATAATTCGTTGGACAAATCGATGGACAAATCAGTTGATAATTCGTTGGACAACTGGATAGTGATCTGTGGATCTCTATTACGGACAACATGTATATTCTGATGGACAACGTTTTGATTGCATTCATCGCTTGTATCGTTACTGTTAGGCATAATCTGTGTTCATATATAATGAATAGTATTCGCACAAAATCACAGAATATTCCCATAGAGTGTACGCAATGTTAATAATTAAAAGGGAAATAATATTAACACAAAAAGATGAAAAAGAAGGGAAAGAAATAGTGTGCAGAAAAAATGATGAATATATGAATTACATAATAAAAGTCAGAGTAAATATTTATCTCGACTCAAATGGTTATGTCTTTTCTCGTCGGTTGACACAAAAAACAAGAGCGAAATCGATTGGAAACAGAGTCACAGCGATTGAGCAAAATATATATAATATTATGTAATGTATTGATTAATATAGGATTAAGAAATTCATTGCATGGGTTTAAGCGGTTTGAATGGTTTGAACGGTCAATACTAATGGGACCCAACATATTGTGAATGCTAACGATTGTGAGAGTAAATTACTTTTCGTGTTTCATTCACTACTCTTACTGTGAATCACACAAAACCGTTATTTAAGGATTAAATTCGTGTATAATTTTATAGAAATGTTGATAAAAATGAGAGATTCTGTGTTTTGTTTGTTGGGTTAGAAAAGGTTTCTGTGTATCGATTTTAAGTACAAACAAAACTCCACATTTGACTCGTATATAAAGCGGTTAAATGTCTTTGACATGTCTGTTAAGTGCGTGGGGTTTCGGTTTTGCATATGAAAAAGAGTCTTACAATGCATTTAATCACTAAATCCTTTTTAATGTAAATATTTTATATTATATGACACTTTACGCCACACTTCTATGCAATGAATTAGATTTTTGTTGATCTCATAAACGATTCCCTGGATATTAATGCCTGTAATAGTTATAATGGGTTCATAAAAATGTTAATTAATAATGACATTTGCGATAAAAGTAATTATTAGTATAGAATATAATATAGTATATTCTGATTGCGAGTAAATAATGATCACAAATATTACTACTATGTATATATTTGTATAATGTTACACAATGAATTCAATTCTGTATCAATTTGTCAGTAAATATGTTTGTTTTATTGAATAAATTTATTTTGTTTAATACATTATTCAAAGCATATTTACTTTACTTATTTCGTATTCAATACAAGTTTGTTTTATTCAAAATACAAATTTCACGAATTTGTCAGTAAATATGTTTGTTTTATTGAATAAATTTATTTTGTTTAATACATTATTCAAAGCATATTTACTTTACTTATTTCGTATTCAATACAAGTTTGTTTTATTCAAAATACAAATTTCACGAATAAAGCAATTCTTCATATTCTGTATGTTTAAGTGGTTTTAATGTTTTATTTTTCAAACAAAAAATCGATTCAATTCATAGAATCATTAATTATTATATTAATTATCTCTTGAATAAATTGTTTTAAATAGTAATAAAATAATAGATTTAAACGCCTTATTGATTACATTATATGATTGATTATACTATATATTGATAGATATGAATATTTAATCACATATATTATTAAACCTATTCTTTATTGTTTTAGTATTAAATAATAAATAATATATAACTAATATTCAATTATAGTAATTAAGAATATAAAATACTACCAATAAATTTACAACAAAATAATCAATAATTAACAACAGTATCCATATCTATACCCACATTGAAAATAACTTACATTAATTGAATTGTAATGTTTGAATGGCTTTAATAATTAATAATAATTATTTTCATTATTTGTGAAAACAAATTCAAAAAGTATAGATAGTATGCGAACACAACCCATATTATACTGTATATGACATTAATAATAAATAACTTAAATTGTTATTAAATAACATTACAATTATTAAATCAATTAAAACTTAAGATTTAATATAATAATAATTAGCATTCAATTTGAGCGCCACTTATAGTGTGTGCGAATGGATTGAGTGAATGATTGGCCAAACATTTAAAGCATTAGTGAAAAAACATATGATTTTATCGTTTATTTACCAAAACATTGGGAAAAAGTGTTTCAAAAATCAAAACAAACGATCGGTTTGTGGTCTCAACAGCACAAAGCCACTGGTGTTGTAGCTACCGGTCAGTCAGGTTGTGTAGGTCACTAGTGTGGCAATAACTGCGGGTTTAGTTACTTGTCAAGTTATGAAACGTTAACTAATAGCTGCTCTGGCGGCTACACACCAACGATGACACCCATCGCCGCCATCAACACCACAATCACACCGACAATCACCGCAACTCAGGTCAGTATATATTACCCGAAGTGTGTGTCCGCGAAATGGATGTTGTCTTCGGCAATGTGTTGTCAGCGTTTAATTGACGGCCAATTAATTGATTGATTATTTTTGTTATTGTGGTAACAATTGCACAATTATAGCCACAATTAATGTCATCTCTTCGGGCGTTATGTCTTCGTCGGCGGCGGACACGACGACAGCGACCACTTCAGCGGTCGGTGTGTCTGAAGCGGAACTTCCGAACCAAATAAGCGTTGCCTTCATTTCGGACGACTCGGTAGACGTCAACGACTCGTCACTCAGTTATACGGAACTGACGGCCAGTTTGGACACGAGTTCACTCAACGGTAGTCAGCGGACAGATGTCTGGCGTATGAATTACAACGAGTCGGCCATCTATTTGGAGGAGGGATTCAATAACGATAAGTTTGAATATCACCCGAAGTCCAGAAAATCGTTGCCCGCATATCTAGTTGTCCACAACCATTGGTTTTATTCA